GCATCCCTAATCTAAATGTGTATATATAAATAAATACTAACTCAAGCACTGTCAAGGTTTCCGTACATGTAAGGAGCAAACTGCACAGCACACTGTCAAGTGGGAAAAAACAAACAAAAGAAACGACCAAACCACTGATTCATATTCCCTTTCCTTTATGACAGCTACTTTTAATCCTCTCAATCTCAACCAATCACTGCCAAAATGTAAACGTGGTATGAAGAAATGCAGAAAACGATGGGTTTATGCTATTTTAGAGTCATACTGGTTAACAGTGGGTAGTAGTGGCTGCTAAGCTTGATCATGTAATGCAGTTACATGACTTTTTGGGAAATACACTTATTTGCTTCCTGAGACTTAGATGAGAAGATTGATATCACTCATAGCTGCACATTAAATATAAAGCTACAGGCAGCAGACGTTTAGTTAGTATAAAGACTGAAAACAGGGGGAAACAGCTAGCCTGTCCTCTGTCCAAAGGTAAAGCCACCTGTAAGCACCTCTAAAGGTCAATAATTAACAAGCACCTCTAAAGTTCAATAGTTAACAGTTTATCTTGCCTGTTTAATCCATACAAAAACTTATGTGCAATAACAATAATTCGCTATTTCTTGGATGTGTCCAGTAACATCCTGGAGTTTCTGCTGGTTGAATGGTAATTGGCCCCAATCTCCTCATTGATCACCTTTACTTGATTTCCAGCCACACATCCTTTTAATTCTGTCAACGTTTCATCTGAAAACACCTTGCATTAACTCTGTCTAGCTCAGAATCTTAATATCCGACCCTGCTCTGGCCAAACATCACAGATTTTACCGGGAAAAAAAGAAACTTGAAAGACAGATTAAGAGGAACTCTCTTTGTGCTTCAGAGGCTGCGCCAAGCTCTGCCCTTCCATGCAGAAAATTCAACAAAACCTGCACCCCTCTAGACGACGATGATGTAATCTCTTACGGTTCTCATCTAAACATCACAACCAAAGTCGGCGGGCTACTGACGCGTTATGTAAGAGTGACACACACACACACACACACACACACAAAAATGGAGGGAAGAAAGGTGCGTGTAAACAGACCAGTCATTTACAACAAAGGGGAGGACAGACAGACACAGTAAGAGTGACTTAAAATGCACTCAGGGCCACTTTTAAACCCTCAAAGCCGCTTTAGGGAGCCACATTAAAGGTAAAAACAAAACCTTTCCTGTGGGAGGTGCTTGCTTTGTCTAATCAAACTGTCTCACTAATGGAATCAGATATAATTGTACCTCAGAGAGCGTAGCTGACATCTCGTTATCCCAGTCCTGAGCACAGTGTACCTCTGCAGACATACAGATTAGAGATTATAGGACGCAATCAAGCAAAAAGATCAATCCATACCCACAGACGCCACCACCACCCCGTCCCTCGGATTATAAACCCTGCCTGTGTTCTGTGTTCATTTTCCAGTTTGTAATTACTCTAAGCTCAATGCCACGCAGAGACACTGTGCAGAGACACAGTAGTGGTGCAATCAAGAACATTAACTGTTTACCATAATTAAAATATCTAATTTAGTCACAGCTAATCAACATGCTCTTTACATCAAAACTGTGAACGTAGTACCTGATGCTAATGCATCCTGTGAAGACAAATTACTCTATATAAATCATACTTGTGTATATCAAAGGGGCTCAGGTCCCATTTCTTTATAATATTTATGACATGGTAAAGAAAAGATTTAGCTAATAAATAATTGTGGCTTAAAGAAACAAAATATAACGTAATAGCTAGCTGTATCCCTTTTCTCTAGTCTTTATGCTACGCTAAGCTAACCATCTCTTGGTTCTAGCTTCATTTTGAACAGACAGGTGTGTGAACAGTATCAATCTTCTCATCTAACTCTCGTCAAACTATTCCTATTCAATGTTGCCTGATTCAGGAATTTTGAGGGTCTAAAAAAATGAAAAAGCTTTTGTTTTTTAACACATAGATCAAAGGGATCATAAGGATCCCTTAAATTTGTTTTTTTTAAGAATTATAACCAAGATAATATAATGAGCAACATATTTTTAGTTGAAAAATTAATAGCTTTTTGATGGACAACATGACTCAAACACATTTTAGTCATTTTTCTACTGCAATCTCTTGTTACTTACTGGCCATCGCATATGCTGATGCAGAGATTTATGCGATTTGCATGTAATGGCCCATGTATGGGGATGGACCATTTACCAGTCTGGCACTAAAATACAATCCTTAGCTTACAGATCAGCATCGATAGCTTACATAACTGAATTGGATTGAATTGGCCACAGTAGAGGAGGAGACTCAAGTCAAAGTTTTGTATCAAATATACTGAAATGGACCTATTTTGTTAGATATAAACCTAGACATATGTCTTGACTTGATTTTTCCACCTTTACATACTAGTACTAAAGACAAAGAGTCTTTAAAACTTAGCATGACTTGTCAGATGAAAGGTTCAGATGTCGCAGTAAATACAAGATGATTCTCTAGTGCATCATTTTATACAAAGTGTTTGATTGTCACATCATGCATCTGAGAGTAATAATTTTGTATTTCTTCCAAAACTTCCTACATCTGCTTTTACAATCAGAAACGTGTTGTACTGAAGCAGTAGTGGCCGCGCTGGCACACACCAACACAAGCTCCTTACATGACTCGCCTTCTTGCCCCCACTGTAAATCTCCAGCTTCTTAACGGATGCTATAAGCTGATGGTCACATTCCAGATGTCAAAGGCACACACAGATGATTACACCGACAAACAGGCCATTCCCCAACCAAGTCTATTTTGGTACGTTGGTGTGGGTGGATTTGGTTGTGCAACATCACACCTGGAGCACAACAGTCCAGGCAACAGTGGTGGAACTGGGTGAACGCATACATACAATAATTTCACTCGACTTCAATGTGATTAAGAATTTAGAGGGTTAATTGCTAACTATAAATATGGTCGCCCTCTTGCTCAACTATCCTCAGGGTCAAACAGACTTGCCCACAATGTGTGAATTTAAGTTAAATGGTAAAGGCTCTCATTGGACATTGGCCTGTGTGTTACACCATGCCCCAGGAGAAGATGATGTAATGTCTTTTTAAAAACATCACATCAGAGTGGGACACCCCACTCTCTTGCACCTTACGTCATAGACAGACTGTGACCCAGCAATATTACTGTGGCAGTGCTGCAGGGACTACAGATAATGTTGTCTAAGAGAAAGTGTGTTGGCACTGAAGTCACAAAATTATAATATCCAGACTTTTAAATCAGGATAGAAACTGTATTGTTAAAGCTAAAAATCTGATTATTTGCTCCCAGAATTCTAACATTTCCTGCCATTTTGTAAATCTGAAACAAAAAAAATTAATATCTGCTTCCAAATTAGTAACATTTTTTAACAGTGGAGCAATTTGTTTATATATTCGCTTCCAAAATTTTAACATTTCCTGTAATTGTGCCAATGCTGAAGCTAAAACTGTGAATATTTGCACCTGAAATAGTAAAATGTCATGCCATTTTCTAACACTGTAGCAAAGAAATCTGAGCGTCTCTTTAGAAAATGGTGAAAATTCATTCCATTTTATATATACTGAAGCTGAAAAACCCTTGGAAACAATAGAAACCCTGCACATTGCTGTGAGGTGAGTGTGCGTAATGCCCCTCCAGGCCCATGCACTTGGACTTGGTATCAACTTTCCTGCTCTCCAACAGCCATCAGGGGAAAAAGGCCAGATCAAATGCAACATTGATTTTTAAATAAAAACTAATTGACCCTTAATTTCCTACATTATCATTATTTACATCAGACAAAATGTGGGTAATCTGTGTATTCACATTCAAGTGGGTCTGTAAACAAGATGACCACAACTAACAAACAGCCTGTTGTCAGAGTTCCTTCACTAACAACAGTGCTGTCTCCAAACTGAACGAGGTGATTTTACTACCAAGCCACAATGAAAACAAATCAGTCCACATCCACTCTGGCGTGGGCGTTGAGTCCCTCAGTGCACAAAGACACACCTACACTATTCCCACAGCAGATTAAAGAAAGAATCAGCAACAGTTTGGTTGGATAAAATCGATTAATTTGAAGCTGCTCTTTGGTGTGCACGTAAAACATCATTAACTATTTAGCCTACCTATCTTCATTTATTTTGCATGCAAGGACGCCTGTTGGGTTTAAAGAGCATTTTGTGATACTGTGGGATTTAAAGGATGCTTGTTACAGAGTCATCTTACTATATCACATAGAGCATCTTTAATAAAGCCAGAATTGAACGTGTGTGCACCTTACATAGGCTCCATTAACATGTCTCAGCTGCTGGGGTTGTGATGGACACAAGCATCAGCCTGTGCCAAGTGCACCGCTGCTCGCTTCTTTTCCAGCCTATTGCTCGACCGATGGACAGGACTACTGCGGTCACACAAGACACATAGGCTTCGAGTGTTGCAGCGTCGTCGACAGATCAGACACCGTGCTACTGTGTGCGGGAATCTGCGATAATAATCGGAGCGGATGCGGCGGGAGGATCCTAAAGCGGCTGCTTCACACCTGACGGAAAACAATGCAGCCGTGCACAGAGCGCAGCGCACCGCCTCCACAGCCTCCTTTATTAGCCGCTCATTAGGCAGAATTAAGATCGCCATGGTGCAGCAATGCAAAAAACAAATTGGCATTAATGTATGCACCATAAAACCAGACGTGCACCTTCCACAACCCATTAACCCGCCCACCCTCTTATTCTCCTCCATCAGCCTCCAAATCCTTTTGCAGGCGCAAAATAATACACAAAACGTCAAATTGCTCTCGGGATTGAGGATATATTCTCGTTATCGCCCCTCAAATAGGTGAGAGGCTAAACAAAAAGGCATCGCTATTGTGTCGCGCACAAGCGAGAAGCCATTGCAAGTAGGTTAAACCACTCAGGCTGGCGCAGACGCAAATGTCTCCAAAGAAAATACACCAAACGCGCAAATGTCAGCGGCTGATTGAGCGTACCTTTGCTCTCTTGTCCCTCGTCTTGAGTCTCCTCCGCGTTGGACTCCATGGCCGGCTTTGTCCCATCCATTATTTTAGCAGAATATAGTCTCCTTGTGGCACTTGTACCTTACAGTGTGTGGACGGTGGAGCCTATCCTGGTGACTTGATGCTCTCTCTCTCTCTCTCTCTCTCTCTCTCTCTCTCGCCTCGTACACCCCCTCCTCCCCGTTGAAGCTTAGCACTGTCTCTATATGTATATTAACAATCCAGTTTCAAGATGCAAAGGCGCTGTCAGATTGGATTTATGTCGCACATGCGGATTAGCGGCCCCCGAATGATGCCAGATAACGCCTTTTGGCCCCTAATACCACTCTTGACTGTGGAGAAAATGATGTTCCTGGTGTTATATACTTCTTCATAGGGTCTATTCTTCCACCATTCACTTTTTTTCTTCACTAAATGGCATTTGCATTTTGTTGCATCAATGGTTTCCTCTCTCAGTGAAGCAGATGAGGATGTAAGGACAAAATGTGAAGGAAATGTAAATATGCAAACTCATGGGTAACCATGCATGCATGAACAACACACACACACACACACACACACACACACACACACACACACACACACACACACACACACACACACCACTCTCACCACCCCCTCTCCATCTGGTGAGTTGAGAGAGAGTCAGGGAGGGAAGAAAGGAGAGAAGAAGAAGATCTAGTGCTATAAGAGAGAGTGTAAGTGTATGACAAATCTGAGAATCTGGGTGAGAGGCGGAGAGAGGACTGACTGTGGTTTTTAGTTTTCTCGCTCACATAAAAATTTAAATCTGATGATGAAAAACCCATTATAGTTAATTAAACACTGTTAGATATTTTTAGGCGTCCAATCAGCACTCAAGAGGACAGATGTGTTTGTCTATGATGATGTTTAAGTCACACCAAGCTAGTGAGCATGTTGCAGCAAGATCCAACACTCATTCCCAGTGCTGTAAAGATATTGCTATTAGAATAAAGAACACACACACACACACACACACACACAGAGGAGGATGCTTAATTTCCTACTTTAGCATGTGTGTGTTGCATATTGGTTTCTTATTGTGGAAAAACAGCTTCACTTAAATTGATATGATTGAATCACCTTTTACCAGCCACGTGCCTGGCTTTATTTAAGAGGGGACCCTTTGTTTGCCTCTGGGGATGCTGATTGGCTGAGTGCAATATCCCACAATCCAATGAGAAATCACTAAAAAATATTTAAAAGTGGGTGTGGTGTGTTTAACCAGAGAAGGGGGGAGGAAGAGGGACTGTTTCCATCATTCACCCTATTTTCTAATAATAAACACATCCTCAAACAATGGGACGCCATCTGTCCTGAATCCTCTTAAATAAGGTTTTAATTCAGGCCCACGTGGCCCTGTTTCAGACAAAGCTCAGTCCACACAACAGTCCAGGAAATCCCCACCCCACCTCACACACACACACACCAGGCCCTGATGTTTTCATCCAACAAAACGTCAGACACCAGAGCAGATTACATGACATATATGTCATTTAATAGCTCCATTTACTCCAAGGGTGAAATTAACACCCACTCTGCACCATATGTTGGTCAAAGACGGTGACCTATCACATTGACTTTTTGGACATTTGAATGACTCTCTGATATTGAGCCACGAGAAAACCTGTGTGAACACAGAAACAGAATCAAAGACAGGACATACATAGTACAGTAAGAACTATTATTTCCTTGAAAGACAGCAAACTTTGGAAACAGAGCCAGAATGTTAGCGCTAGCTGCTAAGAAACTGTTGTTTTATCACGTTACCATTGCCTGTATCTGATCACAAACTTATTATGTTCTTCTGTGATATGGTGACAGCTAACACTGTCAAACCCCAGCCAAAGTACACACGAATTTTAAATCAGCACAGTGCAGCGAAATTCTGTACGCAGTTTAACTCAACTAACAATTCAATCCCAATTGACTGTGATACAAATAACCTAGTTAATTTATTTAATTCTTCATCCTCGTCCACCTTAGATTTTATAGCCCCCCTGAAAGCTAGACCTAACACAAAATCTGTTCAGCAGCCTTGGCTAAATGACACTATTAGAAATTGTAAACAGGAATGTAGAAAAGCTGAGCACAGATGGACTAATTTATTGGAACTCACTGAGACTGTCAAAGATGAGGCCATCCACCTGCCCCTTGGATATTATCCCTACAAAATTTTTTATTGAAAATCATGGATAGTTTAGGTTCCTGTTTGCTCTTACAGTTTTTCTCGATTGCTAAGACACATTTCTTGAAAGCTGCCTTTTCCCGAGTAAATCAAAATTAAAAACACTACTGAACAGTCACTAAACACTACGTAGAAAAATAGAAAACACGATGCTCAGGACATAAAGCTGGAGAAATAAATGTTTATTGTTCACTGTAGGCTAAATGCATGTTGCAAAACAAAAAAAACCTGTGCATTTAGCACTTGTACAAAAGACAAAACAGAAATCTTGTGCATTTACACGTAGCACAAACAGAAATCTTATGCGTTTGCCACTTGTGTACAGTAAGCCCATGTAAAAATAAAGTGCAAAAATATACAAATAAGTGCATTACCCGGCCACAGCATCATGTCTCCGTATTGGATCAGGCCACAGGACTTCATCCACATCACAGGCCACATTTTGTCTGGCCAGGCAACGGGGGAAAGAAACCCCTAGCATGCCATATCCAGGCTTGGCATGCCTCCACACCTATGTCACTACAGGCAAGTCCCATGGCTTGCAGGAGATTTACCCTGGTGTAAGATTGGCGTTCATATACCTTCCACCGCCATGAGGAGAAGAATTCCTCAATGGGGTTTAGGAAAGGGGAGTACGGTGGAAGGCAAAGATTGATAAAACCTTGGTTCATATTGAACCACTCTCTAACCTGGAGGGCTCTGTGAAAACTGACATTGTCCCAAACAACAACATAGATGGGATGCTCATCCTGCTGCCCTAACAGAGCATCTCACATGTGATTGAGGGAAATGAGGAGCTGGTGAGTGTTATAGGGCCCCAGGTTGGCATGATGGTGGACAACCCCATGATTGCTGATGGCAGCACATAATGTGACATTGCCACCACGCTGCCCAGGAACATCAACAATGGCCCGATGGCCAATCACATTACGGCCTCTCCTTCTCCTTTTGGTGAGATTAAACCCAGCTTCATCCATGTAGATGTATTCATGGGGTCTTTCCATTGCATCCAGTTGAAAAACCCTCTGTATAAATAGATATAGTTTTGTAAGTGATACGGAAAAAGTGATTTAGGCCACTACAGTAAATCACTACTTAGAGTAATCAACATTGAATGTGTCTGGATATATGCCAACCTGCACATACTGGAATCTTTGCTCTTTGACTCTGTCTGAGTTGCGATCAAAGGGCACACTGTATAGCTGTTTCATGCGCAGTCTGTTGCGCTTGAGGACACGATCAGCAGTAGAGAGGCTGACACTGTTGATACCCTCAAAATATACATGGTCTTCAATGATCTTCTGCTGAATTTCACTCAGTTTAATGGCATTGCTCTCACGGACCATATCAACAATTAGGGTCTCTTGGTGTGGGGAGAACATACCTGTCCTCCCACCCCCTTGTGGCAGTCTTTCAATTCTACAAAAAGAGAACATGGAGTTACAAAAAATATACATGGAATACTAGGCCTACAAACAGTTAGACCAACCCTCCATTACAATACTACAGTACATTGGTACAGTGATGTACTGAAACATATATTTACTTACAGTATACTGTGGTACAGTATATAGTATGTCATACAGTAATTGCTGTCAACATTTACATACTGTACTATAACGTCAAAAAAAGGTAATTACCTGTTCTTACCTTCTCTAAATCTTCAGATTATGGTGGACACAGTGAATCTACTGATGTTTGGTTGTACCCTTTGTCCAGCCTCCCTCATGCTCATATCATGGACAAGAACATGGTCAATCACAGTAGCTCTGATTTCATCAGATATTACTGTTCTTTGTCTTCGCTGACCACCTCGACCTCCTCTCATACAAACTCTTCCTCTCAGATTTCTATCCATTGTAGGGCCTCACTAACCAGTGCTCTCTGAACTGGCTTACTGTATATGTTCCCTCACATCATTAGCCACAAGTGTGATCAATTTTGAGTTGTTGTGTTCAAGTGGTAACACCTGTGCTTTAATTGTGTTTGACTTTTGTCACCTGTGCTCACCATTATGCAGCACGGGTGCATCACAATGAAAATGTGTTGGCAATTTGTGTCTAAACAGGTGAAAAGTGCTTATGGTTTTGCCAAAAGAGTGATTGATTCAATCAGTGGGTTCAGGCAACTGAGCATTTGGTTCAGACAATAGGGTTTAGTGTTTTAGCAATTGAGAAAAACTGTAATCATAATATAGCTCACTGTCATCTGGTTGTCTTCCAGATTATTTTAAATGTGCTTGTGTTCAACCAGTCCTCAAAAACAATCCCAGGCCTTGATCCCACCAACCTCGAAAACTTCCTTTCATTTCCAAGGTTCTGGAAAAAATTGTTTCTAAGCAGCTCCTTGAAGTTATGAAGAACAATGACTTTTTCGAAAAATTCCAATCTGGTTTCCGCCCTCACCACAGTACAGAGACTGCTCTCTTAAAAGTTACTAACGACCTGCTATTGAATGCGGACGCTGGCATGTCTTCAATTCTGGTGCTGTTAGACTTGTCCTCAGCGTTTGACACAATAGACCATGGCATCTTGCTAGATAGACTGAGTCGTTGGGTGGGCATCTCTGGCACGGTATTGGAATGGTTTACCTCGTATTTATCTAACACGAAGCACTGTGTGTATATTAAATCCACCTTTTCTCCTGTTTATTACGGTGTTCCGCAAGGATCAATTCTCGGACCTATTTTGTTTTCCATTCATATGCTCCCCCTGGGTGACATTATCCGCCGATATGGTATTCCCTTCCACTACTATGCGGTTATACCTCCCGGTAAAGCCTACTGACCTCAGTTTGCGGTGTTCCCTCCAGGCCTGCCTGACTGACATAAAAGCCTGGATGTCATTAAACTTTTTACAACTCAACTCTAATAAAACAGAAATCCTTGTAATTGGTCCCCAGCACACGGCTACACTACTAATCAGATTATACCCTCTATTGGTCATTTGTCTACCTACATTACGCTTGTTGCCAGAAATCTTGGTGTCCTATTTGATAGCAATTTTTGCTTTGAAGAACACATTGCTAAGCTTGTCCAATCATGCTTCTTTCACCTTAGAAATATTGCGAAAATAAAACCTATCTTAAATGCCAGAGATGCTGATGCTTTT